CGATGTAAAGCGAGGATCCAGGGATGAGAAGCAGCAACGGTGATCCATCAGGGACATCCTTCTGAAACAAATAATTCCTATTAGCGTCTTGCGAATAATCGGGGCGTTGATGCGAACTTACCTTCTCGGTAGTCTAAGGTAAAACCGAGTGGCGACCGTTTGATAGGAATATTATCCGCCGGAATCGGGCTCAACACGTGCCGTCCGGTCACACACTAACACACGTACCGTACGCATCGACGCCACCGCTATAGTTATTCGACCACGACCGGCACGACCCACGACCGTCGTGTAATCAGAAATGTGTCCAGCACTGCGAGCGGGCGAGAACGTCCCGATCCTGTCGCGTCAAGGAGTCGCGGACTGGACGGTCCGGACTGGACGTGTCCCATCACGCGGGACGATCAATCCGAGGTGACGAGCGCGAAAGCCTGACGACGACGACGATGACGATGACACACACACGCGCGAGAGCGCGTCCGCAGAATCGCCCGAAAACGCGCACGCAGTACACCTTCTCACGCGCGCGTACACGGCGAACAAACGCGCGCGAGAGAGAACCCGTTGCCGTGCGACCGACGGGCGACGACGACGACGAGGAAAGTTGCACGCGCGAGAGAGATGCCCCTCCAAATCAAGTCAATAATGCCCACCGATCAACGCACCATTTCCCGACAACGACGACGGGCGCGACGGCGATGACGACGATCAACGGCACGAACGAAATGACCAAATGACACAGTTTAGACGTCGCTTGTTTCGAAGCTGTGTGGAGGGGGTAGCGCACACGAAGGAATCGTGTACGTGTGCAGCACACGCTCGGCAACGTCCCGCGAAACTGGCGCGAAGAGTCGAAAAAAGACATGGCTTTATATCTTCATATCTACAGCAAAAAAATTTGCCACTGTTGACATATTATATCGCTTCATGCATGAAGCACACTCACTTATACTTACTTTTGTTGTGTTAGTTACAGCTGTTAGCTGTCATAGCAAACTTACAGTTTCTGATCGATATGATCATAGCAAACAAGCTTACTTTGCTAAGAAAGCGATATAATAGCTGCAGTGGCAAATTCTTTTGCTGCAGCAGCAAATACCATTTCAGCAAACCATGATTAGCTACAGCGGTGAAAATTTTTTCTCCGTGCGTCAATCGCTCCGACACAGTTGGGAAACTGCCATCGGTTGAAGAAATCCTCAGATATTTGCATCATAGTCTTTCTTGTTGGTGCCTGCAGATATATCGGTTGAAGAGCTACCCACAAAGTCTTGCAGGTTTCGTTAAACATTTTATGTGGAGTAGAACGCCCAATTCTATAACTCCATGAAAACGTCCTAACTGATATCCCTCGGGCTAGTATCCTTTAAGAAAATAACGTAAGACTTAGTGACAGATACCTTAACATTAGTAGGTACATAGAAATAGGAAATGTACTTACTCAAGAGTCATGGCCACGCGTAACTGTATAGGCAATGGAGTTCTGACACTTCGTTTAGTTAAGTACGGTTTCAGCAAATCACAAAGATAATCAAACTGGTGCACATTCATGCGTGTATAATCGAAGAATTCTTCGTGGTCTGTA